TTCAAGGCCCTTTTGAAACATGATCACTCTTCTGCTATTGCTGATCACGTTAAAACAACTGGTCACAACATCAAATGGGACCATTTTGACATTTTGGCATCTGGCAAAACTGACAACCATTGTAAGGTTAAGGAGACCTTATTCATTCAGGAGTTGCAGCCAGCATTGAATGCCAATGTCAGCAGTGAAAATCTTTTACTTTATTAGGAAAGCTTTTCCATTGTTCACTTTACAGACAGATTCTGTTTGAAACGTCTTAAATTCCTACTGCAGATGTTTTTCTGTCTAGGTTCCAGACCCCCACTGATACAGTATAAATAGCTTTAAAAAATTTTAACAGTTATACTTTTGAAAATGTATGTTGACTGGCATACAAAATGTCAAGTTCATAAAATGCATGTTTTTAAAAAGTTTATCACTGCTGTTTGTTTTATATTTTTAATCCTGCCATGTTTTCAACAAGTTGACCTGACATGAGCACACGATTCAATCGAAAACCAGCACTTGGTCAGCGGTCAACTTCAAAAAACACGTGACCTTGATGACCTATAAACTTGATCCCACAATGTTGCCTGATACTGGTCAGTGGATACCTTGTTTTGACAGGTGTCAATTGATCATAACATGGATGTCCAATATCAAAGAAGTACATGGTAAATCAAGGCCTCATGTCCCTGTCAATTAACCTATTATTTGGAGTATGGCCGCCATGTTGTGCGACTCCATTGTTGTCGTTGCCATTGTGCGTATGCACCCATGAGCAATACTGCTAGCCATGATAACCATGAGAAAATCAACTCAAGGGTTTCCTTTTCTTTCCTATAATTATGAGTATGGGGTTCTGCTAGGCGGCCCTTCAGGCTGCTGTAGCTCTGCTAATACTTGTCAGATACTTGTCAGATTTTTATTACTGAAAACACCTTCGGATTAGCAGCTGAAGCATATTGAAGATTAACTACAGAGTGTTGGTCTGTATTTTGTTACAAATAACGAAAAAAAAATGGTATGTGCTTGTCATAAATTAGCATGGATTAACAAAGTTTGGATGCTAAATTTAGGTCTGAGAAAGGTTAAACAAGAAACCACAGCACCGCAAATAAGTTTATTTCACCAAACACTGTAACGTGAAAAATACAAACATCGCACACTGAAGGGTTTGAGATCACTGCAACACTGCAAGTTGGGATTTAATTCACCACATGACTGCTTTAAAAACAAAAGAACAAGCTTAAAATTTGGCCTGTAGGCAATTTTAAAGCTCCCATTTGATTTGCGTTTGCCCAAAGCACAGGGGACCTGATCACTGTACCAGCAATAACATAATCATTATCATACATTCATGTACAATAAATGTACTGTTATTTACCTGTGTTCCTGGGTCTTTTTGAACCCTTTAGAAGGGATTTGATTATAGAAGCAAAGGTGGTCTACATTTCAAATCATCTTGTCTGCTGCTCTGTAAATGCGACGATTTGATTACGTCTCGAGTTTTCAATATCTTCATTAACCACCTGTATTAACTCTCATCAGGCAAGTTTTCGCTATCTTCATTGACTATATATTAACTCTCATCAGGATAGCAACTCTCAGGTTTCATTTTGTCCTCAAACCTTCAAGACGTTGATGACTATATGGGATTATACAATAATTGCATAATCCCACAAAAATTCATAACTCCATCAAACTTGGACAGAATTTAATTGTTAAAACTTTAAAATATTGAAGAGAGATGAAACTTTTGCACATTCAACTTGTTGGAATAAAAAACTGTGTTTTGGCAGCATCTGACATTTATAGGTAAATTTCAGAATCTCCCAAGGCAATGTAGCCAGCTGTTTTGAGGTCACCTTGAAACTGTCTTGCAAAAAAATTAAAAAAATCAAACTGACCCAAATAAATGTGATATTTGTACATGAGACTTTTACTGAAAAATGAGGCCAATTGGAAGAAGTCCAAAATTTACCTTATCTGTTCTTATGCGCACAGCCTCTTAAACGTGAGTATAAAGAGTGACATTCTGCAGTTTAAATGATATTTCTATGAGTAGTTTTTTGAAACACATTTTAGAATAAGAATTAGCGATAAAAAAATGACATTTTGATCTCCCTGAGATCATTTTCAAGTTGTAGAAAAAGCGAATGAAATATACATAATATATATGTACAAATTAGGGTGTGAGAATGTCCAACAATAAAATATGTAAATACAAGCGCTAAAATGTAAGTGTTAAAATAATAAAATACTCTAAAAAAACTACATAAATAACTTTGCACAGATTGAATCTGACTGTTTGTTCAAAGTTGGCTTAAGCTCCTTTATAAAAAGCATTTCGTAGATCAGGCAGTGAAATTTTTTTGGCACTTTCTCAAGAGCTTAAAATCACGATATATGTCACTTGGGACTGTTCCATGTTGCTCTTTAATGTGATTCCCAATTGAAGACAATCCTTTGTGTTCCTCAACATGCTGATAGAGGTGTCGGCACATATACCCAACATGGTTTGCATTGCACAAACCACACTTGTAATAGTAAATAATGCATTGCTGGTTAATGACAGTTGGCTTCTTTTCTTTTGGCTTGATCTCGTGTCCGATCTTACGGCTTGTATTCACGGGGGAAATATCAATCCAATTTTGCAGCCTAGTTCCCCAAGTTGCCTTCACATGGAATTGGCTGATCTCTGATCCTTGAATGGTAACACTATTCTGACAGGCGCTTCATTTACGTTACATGCTCATGTCGAAATTGGATTGATATTCGCCCCGTGAATATAAGCCGTAAGATTGGACACAAGATCAAACCAAAAGAAAACAAGCCGCCCATCATTAACCAGCAACATGTCGTTTACTATTACAAGTGTTGTTTGTGCGATGCAAACTATGTCGGGTATAACTGCCGACACCTCTATCAGCATGTTGAGGAACACAAAGGATCGTCTTCAATCGGGAATCACATTAAAGAGCAACATGGAACAGTCCCAAGTGACATATATCGTGATTTTAAGCTCTTGAGAAAGTGCCAAAGTAAATTCGACTGCCCGATCTACGAAATACATGTACTCTCTATAAAGGAGCTTAAGCCAACTTTCAACAAACAGTCAAACTTAATCCGTGCAAAGTTATTTATATAGTTTTTTAAAGTATTTATTATTTTAACACTTACATTTTAGCGCTTGTATTTACATATTTTATCATTGGACATTCTCGCACCCTAATTTGTTCTTACATATGTATATTTCATTCGCTTTTTCTACAACTTGAAAATGATCTCAGGGAGATCGAAACGTCGTTTTTTATCGCTAGTTTTTATTCTTATATGATATTCACTAAATTTTAAACTTACCCTGCGAGCAGTTTCCCAGCCATCCCCCATGTTAACTGCTGTCCCAGGAGCAATGAGATTACGAGGATGACCATAATGCATATTGCTCCAGCCCACAACAGCTCCACCATTCTCCATGGCTGCCAAGTCTATCAGCATCTATTATTGAAGTGAATATGTGAAATAGAACTATTATTACCTGAACTGTGGAAGAAAGAATTCCGACACCAAAACTCATCACAGTTCTAAATGCAACTTAGTTACAAATTCAAAAATTATAAAGCTTGAGCTTAAAACAAAATTCAGGCATAAATGGGATTCACACCCATGTCCTCTGTGATAAGTGTAAAATGCTCCACTAACTGAGCTTCTAATTCTAGCCAGTAGAAAGATAGTAGATGAAAGATTGTTGCAGTCAAGAATGCAACTAAATCAGTTGCAGAAGTAAAGGCTGAAGAACATTCAGGATTGATATATTCTTACAGCCTTTTTTCAAAGGCTTTTTAAAGCTTAACTAGGGAGCAGCATTCATGCAAACTTGATGTTGTAACACTTCCTTTACCCTGCAGAACAGGCGTAATTTTTTTGCGTATTTTAGGTGAACAGAGGCAAAAGCGAGGCAAGCGTGAAGCGTGCTCTTCCCCTTGTGCGTGACTCCCACTTTGCGCTCACCTCACTTTTGCCTCTATTCACCTAAAATACACAAACAAATTATGCCTGTTCTGCAGGCTACACTTCCTTATTCCTATGGGTTTTGTCTGGAAGTGGCATATTACAACCAGCTGTCCCATATATATACCTTAAACTTCATTATTTTACTTTTCAAAACATACCACACCTCTGGGAGTAGCTACATGTATTTATCTGTGTGTAGGAAACAGGTGGAATATTTGAGAAAACTAAAACTGTGCCCCCATAAATATAGTCACTGGAGTCAAAGATAAGCTTGAGTAGATGACAGTATACTTAAAAACTGTTCCTGGCAAACCTCAAATGTTCGCCCTTAAAAAAGGCTTCTTTCCTAGAAAGGTGAAATGACTCAAAGGGTCTGTATTGATCAGAGGCTTCTCAAAGGCTAATCCATTTTACCAATTACTGCTGTACAAACACCTAAGAGAATACCCTTTAAGTGGTCACAAAGTGAAAATTTTTGCTCAATTACAAAATTTACTGGGTGTCTCAAACTCTAAGACCTAGCTAAGACCTGAGAACTAAGACCTTAGACCTAAGACCCCCTCCAAATCTCACAAACTAAGACCTAAGCCCCAGCCCCCCAAAACTCAAAAACTACAACCTAAACACTCTCTCTAAATTGCAAAAACTTGCATGGCATCATTGTAACCTGTGGTTTGGTATCATTCTCAGTTATCTCAGGATGCCTATAGTTTGCTAGGTAAGTAATCTTTTCATTTTTTTAATTGATGACATCATACAACATCGTCGCTTAATGTCAGCATGTTAAATTCCTTTGGATAAATGATGTCGTGCAAGATTTACCCAGAATCAAACTGAGGAGATGAAAACTGCCATCTTGATTTTGGTAATCGAGTGACATTGTTTTTCGGTGGCTTGTGGTATTGACAATGTGTCAGTTAGATTTGAGATCATACAAACCAGAAGGCAACAGACAGCAGTTTTTTTTAAAGGATTAAAAAGGTGAGTTGTACCTCTGAAATTGTTGTTTTTCTCGAACATGCAATACATTTGATACCAAAATGACCCATAATGAAAAGTTCTGTTCTATGCTGTTAATTGTTTGCATTTTATTGGAGAGCAATAAATCTTCCAACATCGAGTAATTCAAAGTCCTTGCAATGAACACCTTCATAGCAAATGACTAGTTTTTACACGCTGCTTTTCACTTGGCTTGTCAATGTATGGAAATACCCTTGGCCAGCAGCAAGGGGGGGGG